GAAGATGGTCTCAAGCGGCCACTACACAATGGCTTAACTTTTTAACCCTGGAGCTTGCTGCTTGCTTGAGTCTCTTGTCATTCTCAGTCCTTTGTCCCGTCCTTTGGAGCGAGGCACCTGTGTGTTTTGCTTCAGCGAAGTCACGTGAGGTAGATCAAGTAGACGAGATGTAGCTTGTTGCTGAGGTCGTCTCAGATTGCCGAACTGTGTGGCATATCATGTGGGTTATGTCAGCAGTTTTCTAGCTACTTTCATTGTCGCTGGCCAAAGCTTGGCAACACAGCTGGTGTTCAACTTGTAAATGTAACGCTTTGCATTGTTGCTCATATTGCTGATCAGGCCATATGGCTTTTTCCACTCCCTCCGCCTTTTAAGTTCAATCAATTTCATGATCCTTTTAGCTGCTATTGTTGTTTTGGAGATGGTGAGTTTGCATAATGGTGTAAAAACAGATAACTTGGCTTTACTTAAAAAACTAAATAAAATAACAAGCAATTCTGCAAACTTGCTTAAAAAAGAGTAGTCTTTATTTAAGGGAGGGAATTATAATCTTTATTTTGAGTGTGCATCGCTTAAGGAGGATAAGCCACATTTGCTTCATTTAGTATTTTAAAGTAAATTTAAACCCACTTTATACAACCTTGGTTTTACAGATAACTCAGTATCTGTAATTAAACTACAAAACCTAATATAGATATGGTTACATGCACCACTTCAAACTGATTGGCACATGTGAGTGATATATGCAATCCCTTAATATCAAAATTTCCATTTATAGCTCATTTATAACTCTTAATTACTGACTTTTGAATTGCGTCCAGAATGGACTTCCAGGTAGAGTTAAAATGTCTTTGAGTGCTACTGGGGTTTCTGCAGTATTTGATAAATATTTAATGAGGTTTGTGTTTTGAGGGGAGTTTCTGAGTTGATCTTAGTGGTTACACTGGTCTCCTATCACTGGCAGGTGTAGAAGGCACATAGGAAATGAGATAAGTGAGGGGATGTGTGTGCTTGTGTATGTGTGTCTCTCTAAAGGCTATACTGGCTCACACATTAACCACCCAGACAACCTTATCTGTGATTTACACTCAAACTCCTCAGTGGAACCAGGCAGGCAGTCAGGCCTCATTAGACATCAGATTTTAGAAACTTATCACAGCAGTTCACAGTGAGATAGCTCATAGGGGTTAAGTAGTCAGCCTGTAATTGTATCGTTAAAAAAAAAAAGAAAAAAGATATAGTTCATGGGCTCTACCATCTAGATGAAATGGCAGCCCCAGTATATAAGTGTAGAACTAAATCTAGGAGCTACATATTCTGAGAAGAGCAGAGGTCAAGGCCTCGATATTCTTGTAATATTACTTTGTCCTCAGAAGGATTCTTAATGAGCATGTTATGGGTAAAGAAATTGAGTAAGGGCTGATTTTATTTTAGCGAGCGCTGGGAGAGGGTTACATGATTTGTTAGGCAGGGGATTAGTTGTGGGTGTTCTTAACAAAATGAGTTTTCTTTCCATAACAGCGAGACTCTGTTGTTCTAGCTGTGAGTAAACATGCTATTTACATTCTTGGCATTTAGCAGACAATGTTTCCAGAGCGGCTTACAATTAAATAAGCAGGTAGGGGTTCAGTGGTTAACACAGCATGCGTGACTGTGGGCACGGTACCAGTTACATGGGCTGAACCTGTGAACTGACTGCTTGGTTATTGTCTCCAGGTTAAAGCTTCTCTGGATAACTACAATTATACAATTTTTTTAATGGCTTCCAGAGCCTTTAAATGAATTGCAGCCAATATTCTATAGCTGGCATATTGACATGGCGCGTATTAATACAGCCAAAATGGTTACGAGACGTACACACACTGTCATGAAGTATGTCGGACTGTTTTATGTACTGGCTTTCATGTGTAGTCATGAGAAAAAGGAACGTTTTCACTCTTATGAAGTAGGAATTAAGAGGGTAAGTAGTAGCCAGGTGCTGCTAATCAATTGCACGTGATTAACTAACCATCTGCCAGAATGACCATCTCTGTAAAAACAGACGCTTTAGCCGTTTGCCAATCTCTGAACATTCAGACATGTTTTAACACAGCGGGACAATCTTTCCAGACTGGACATCTCAGGAAATTCACCAGAAGTTGAGACTGTGTAATGCTCAGAAAAACTGCACATAAGCCAGTTTGTGACATTGTAGTTACAAACAGAATGAGCAATTGTATGAAAGGGTTGCCTGAAGAACGCCTCTTTTTTTCTGAAACAAATATGGCAGCATGGCTTAGGTGTGCAAACTTGCAAGATGTTTGCCAATTTGGAGATGTTTGTCCATAATACACAGTGCCAACCAAACCAAACACAGCATATCAGCGCTTCATACCAGTTGTTAAGTGCAGTGGTTGATGGTTGATAACTCGGGCTTTTTTGCAGTCTAAGGACCTGAGCACTTTGCAGTCATGGAGTGAGCTGTGAATCCTTCTATGTACCAAAGTATTCTAGTCAAATGTGAGGCCATCTGTCAGACAGCTATAGCTTGGCTGAAAATGATCGCAAACACAATAGCAAATTTACAACAGAATAGCTGAAAAAGAAAAGTGTTGCAATCGCCCAAAGTGCAGACCTCAGTCGGGCTGAAATGTTGTTGTGGGACGTTAAGGTATGCATAAAGCTAAGCTGTAAAGAAGAGTCGGTCAACATTTCCCCACAAAGATACGAGAGCCTAATAAAATGATACAGGAACTGATAACTTCAAGTTATAAAGGGAGTTCTATAAGCTGTCCTGTGAGTACTTAGTTTTCAAAGCAATAAAGAGACCGCCATAGTGATTTCTTGATTATTAGCATAATAAAGACAAAATTGACTTTGAAATGATAAAGCTGCACATGCAGGGAGATTACAGATTGATAGCTAACAGCCAGTGTTATATTGCTCTTGGCTGCTACTGTGGGCTGTGGGTCATACATACATACACATTTACTTTGCACTGTTATGTGCATGCTGCTAAATTCAATACTATTTGACACAGTACACAAGTTAGTATCATGAATGACATTAACTGATGAAGTTATCTGGTTTAGCTTTTGTGACCTATTTGTTACATTGCCTGTATCTATATCAAGCAATAAAGCAACCTCAGGGTTGGACATTTCAGGCAAAAATACTCTGATTTTCACTGCTGGCAGTATAGTATCAGGATTATTGAGCAGACTGCTCTAAAATCAGTGTGACATGTTAGCTTCACCTGGAGTAGCCTGCGTGATATTTCACATTTTTGTTCTTATTTAAAGGAGTCCCACACAAAACAGCTTTTCTTGGTCTGACGGATGGTAAATTTGAGCAGTTTCTTTCTTTTCTTTTTTTTTTGTGGGCAAACCGCTTATAGGTTTATTTTTGTTAATGTTTTAATAGCACATTAAACCAGACTACAGTAAAAATAAGGGGCGGGGTGTCTTTTAGATTAGAATTAAAATAGCTGCATAAACTATTAGATTTTTTTGCATAAATTAATATCCCAAAAATCCCGTCCCTTGCTGTGTGAATGTGGCAATGGTTTGTTTGTAACATTTGTAATAATGTAAACAGTCAGTCAGTCACAGGACTTCCTTACGCCTTAGTCATGCTGGTATTTTTCTTCCACGGATTTCTGGCTAAAAGTAGTTTTGCCCCAGTTTTACTGACATTAATATTTGGCATAAGGGTTTCATTTGATACAACTAGGTTTATTATACATTATCGTAGCTAACATTAGCTTACTTGCTAACTCTGATGATCTGTTTGTGAAGCTCTAATTTTTTAGATTATGCTGCAGTCAGTTCACATATTGGCAATACAAACATTTCATTGCATGAAGAATGCTGCTTGGTGCATGTTTACCTCCTGAAGGGACAAGGGATGCTCTGTATGTCAGCAGACTTGTAAGATGTGGGTTGCTTAATTTGCTCTGCCAATGTTTCATGTTAGTGTGTAAACAGGGGCCGGTTTTGCTCCGTAAATTGGCTTTGAAATTGTATGTTGGGAACAAAAGCAGCAAAGGGTAAACCATGCAAAAGGTTGCAATATATGGCTTCCAAAAGAAGGGTCTCATGTTGAGTTGGCTTTAGTTGCTTGTAAAAATAAAAATGGCTTAATGCCACGAAGGATGAATCACAATGCCAAGCAATTACACCCATAAACTTTGAGGCTAACTTTTTACTGAACATCATTAAAAGATGTTTTTTTTTGTTGTTGTTGTTTTTTAAAAAATGTGCTGTTATCGCAGATTTCATGTGACAGAGTGCACAAAAAGATACAAATGAAGATCTATTGGATTTAAGTAACAAGTGACAATTAGTTTGGGTGGTGAAGTGAAGGATAGAGCTGCCTGTAGTAAGAAACAAAGCCTGAGTTAAGTGAACACTCGCTAAAATTTCCATATAAGTTTAAAAATAATTATCAGTGTGAAGTCGTAACAGTATATGCAAATGCTTAAAACCAAGCCTTAACTTACCTGGACAGATGAAACCAGCGCTGCAGCAAGATGTGTGGAAAAGGCTACACGCATATGCATATTTAAAAAGAGGGGGTTGGCTTCATAGTCTCCAGCTGTGCTTTTGATGCTGCTTTAAAAGCTGCCTGTTCCCTATTGAAGCTCCATGATTAGCAGGTCAATACCCCAGCAGGTCACTTAGTTAAGTACTTATAACCAGCAGAGAGCACAGTCATACAGTGGCTGAAAGACATCCATTTGAACACCGCTTTAAAACCACAGGTTTGTTTTTCTATATTAAGCGGGAGAGTCACTGCAATATTTCCTTTTTCCCATTTTAATTACTGTTGTTTTGAAAACTTAATGTCAGCAGGGTTAGTTTTATTGTGGGGCTTCTGTGTGCTCGTTTGTTTGTGTGTAGCTACATCCCCTCCCTTCTCCAGCAGATGTTTCACATCTCTGGCTTTTCACCTTCACTCCCACCTCCTGCTGACATATTTGAAGTACTGAAACTTATCAGATCTGGTTGATCTGATCATTCAGATCTATGCTGTAATTTTCTTCTGTTTAAATAATTGAATTTCAAACACCAAGATTGAATATTCTAAGATTTGTGTCATTTATTTTGTCCCCTTTAAAGTGTTTTTCTTTGTTAGGAAATTATCAATCGCTTATAATGGTATTTACAAAGGTGGGTATTAACTTTGGTGGAATAAGGAGATTTTGGTGGGCTGCTTTAAGAAATCTGAGCACCTATTGTGTCAAAAAGCAGCAGAGTGGTATTCAGACTGAGGCAATTTCCCACTCGCCTCCAGCGATGGAGAGAAAACCATTTCTACATTTGCTTCTCTTTTGTTCGTTGTGAAAACGTGGAACTTATTTCACACTAATACGTTTTCATTTTCACGTGGAGTACAAACTCACAAATCCTCTGAGGTACCAATCCTTTCAATAGCACCGAGCCCTAATTTCCAATCTGGGCTCAGGATAAGAGATGAGTTTTTAATGGAGAAAATGTCATGCCTGCTGGCTTCCTCCCATCTACTACTCATTTACTTCAGTGGCTCTGCTTTTTAAAACTGATACTGGCTGTGCATAGAAAAGCCTACACCCTTTCCATTGTGCGCAGTCCTGGTTGTCTGAAGGTTACTGAAGGCTTTTTTTTCTGGCTGTATGGCCTCTGGGCTATGTGGTTGTCTTTGACCACATTTTGCCCCCTCACATTGTTAAGCATCAGTAGTGGCTTGCCAAACAGAGACCTTGCAATGTTGAGGTTGCTGGTTTGCCTAGCTGCTGTCCACCTGCTGATATCCGCCTGCGAGGAACATGGCCCGGAGGCTCCCGTTTTATAAGAGAAGGAGGAGACACCTTTAACCCTGTTAAGCTCAGATCGTCACGACAGACTGCTCACGTTGGACGAGGCCAGTGAAAAGACTGCAACGGTGGCCAGATTAAGTGGGTTGAAATGTCCCATTATCCCTCCTCCATGTCAAGAAGCTGCACTCCTACAGTGGAAAGCAGCTAATTCTGAACAATATCCCTATTTTTTGTTACTATTTCTCCTCCTCGGTGTCCTCAGATGATGCTCTGTCACAAATAAGCCAATTGTCAATTGTCACTAAATCTGTACTTTTAAATGTATTAAGAAAATGTGTAGACAAATTGATGGTTTGGTTTATTTTATTTTATTTTATTTTATTTATTGGCCAGTGGCAGTGTACAATAAATACCTGTTATAAGTTAATTTTCACCTGTAATTTCTGGTTGGAAGCATTTAATGGTGGAAAAACAAAATCCTGCGTACTAAAAGAGCCATGGCAAAGCTGAACCGCAAGGCACAAACTTAGCATCTGCACCTGCTGATGATGCAGAATACATGAAAAAGGGCAAACAGCATAGTTTTTGTACTGGCTGGTCTTTGCATTATAATTACATGGCTGTGTTTTTAGTACCACCCTGAACCTATTTAGCTGCTTAGCTTACACTGTTGTGTTTATTTCATTATATTTTTGGTAAATGGCCTGTATTTATATAGCGCTTTACTAGTCCCTACGGACCCCAAAGCGCTTTACATATCCAGTCATCCACCCACTGGTGATGGCAAGCTACATTGTAGCCACAGCCACCCTGGGGCGCACTGACAGAGTGACCACCACCAGCAGGCAACAGGTGAAGTGTCTTGCCCAAGGGCAACACAACGACCAAGACTGTCCAAGCCGGGGCTCGAACCGGCACCCTTCCGATTACAAGGCGAACTCCCAACTCTTGAGCCACGATCGCCCAGCATATTTTTATTTGTAATGTCCTAACAAAAAAGGGCTAATAGGAAATCCAGCTTACATGAGAAGACTGTTTATTCAAATTTCTTTTTTTTTTTAAAGACTACAAGACTAAAAGAGCCACGGCAAAGCTGTTTTAGTTGTTGTTGTGATGATTATTATTGTATTAGATTTCTAAGCTGAATGTGCTTCTTTGTCTTGTGCTGTTCTCTGATGGTGACTGTGCTCACACTGTTTTGCAGACGTCCAGCTGCTCCTCCATGTTGTCTGCTTGTTTCTTTGTTAATGACGTGGTGTGTAACTTTTCATCAGCAATCAAACATTACCATATTGATTTGAGGCGTTAATGTAATTGCTGTAAACAACTGCGGTGCTAAGAAGATCAGGAGTCTCCGCACGCACTATTATTCACTCTTAAGATCTGGTATCCACTTGTCCAGAGTCGAGTTCACACCTGGTACTGCAGCCAATAAATGCATCTAAAGTGACAAACAGTGTTTGAATTACACTGACTTGATGGCGTTAGATTGGTATCTATGGCTAAGCAGATGAAGCAAGACATGTAGGCCACTGAGAAGAGGGCTGAGTTAGACTGGAGGCATCTGCAGGTGGATGATAATGTGCCCATTTCATGTTATAAACATGTCTTTTCTTTTTGTCTCTTTCTGTTTTTCCTTTTCCCTCCTAACGTTCTGTCTGTGCCTCTGCAGGGTCATTGTGTTATCACAGTACAGCTCAGTGATGACGAGCTGGCTGGTAGTGAGGAGGGCGTGGACTACTTCCTGCTGTTCGCTGGCAGTACACAGAGGCACCTGACCAGCACCCTGAGGAGCAGTCATGACACCTTGCAGGCTTTGTGTCCCGGTAAGCCATCGTACCCACAATGCCTTGCAGCTTACTAGCACCCAAAGGATGGCAGCTCCACCTACAGCTTTTAATATTTGTTAGAGACTGTGTTTGCAGACACTTTTAAATAAGATTAGCCTGGATTATTAACAACTAAAGCTGATGCTCTATGAAAGTGCACCAGCTGTTTTATTTAGGAATGTTTTGTCAGTATCTCGTTGGGCCGCCTCATGCCTTAAGAACTGCTGACGTAAATTCATCGAGATGTTACGTCTGTGTCAGCAAATGGAGATTTTGGCTCACACTGGCATGACAGCATCACATAGTTACATCCGTGATACATTCCACCACATCCACACCACAAGTGCTCTGTTAGATTGAGATCTTGTGCCTGTGGAAACTATTTAAGTACGGTGAACTCATTGTCGTGTTCAAGAAACCAGTTGGAGCTCAGTTGATTTGAGCTTTCTGGCAGAACATCTTATCCTGCTGAAAAGAGCCTTCAGAAAAAGGTGTATGTTGTGGTCATAAAGGGATGGACAGCAACAAAACATGGGTAGGCTGTGGCGTTTGATGCTCAGCTGTTACTAAAGAGCCCTGAGTCTGCCAAGAAGAGCCTGAATCATTGATAAAAGGGAGGATGTTTGCTTTCGTTATGCTTACACCAATTCTGACCAGTTTCTTAACTGACAGGACTGGCACCCAGTTTGGCTCTCTGCTGCTATAGCCCATCTGCTTCAAGGTTTAATGCGTTTCACATGCAGCGATGCTCTTTTGCCCAGAGAACTGCTGCTCGTTTTATATTTTACTTACCATTCTATATAAACCCTAGAGATGGTTTTGTGGGAAAATCCTAGTAGATCAACAGTTTCTGAAATAATCAGACCGGCCCATTTTGAACAACCATGTTCAAAATCACCTAAATCACCTTTCTGACACTCAGTTTGAACTTCAGCAGGTTGTCTTGACCATGTCTACATGGATAAATGCATTGAGTTGCATTTCCTTATGATTGACTAAGTAAATATTTGCATTAAGAAGCAACTGAACTTGTCTATCTAACAAAGTAAATGTATTTTATGTCCTTACTTGTCACTTTACTTTAGCACCTGTCCACTTTATTGTAATTCAGTACAGTATCAGCATTTACATACATGAAAGAGCACCCTCAGTAATTTGATCTCATTTCTAAACCTTTATAGCCATCATAAAAGTCGACTTTATGGCAGATCACTTGTATTGTATTTGTGTATTTGAGTCAAAACCTAGTAGCAGTGCTCCAGAAGAACTGAGGTTTGAACATTATCTTAAAAGGTGGTTTTAAATTCTTCTGTATTCATCATGTGCTGCATCCCAAATTAATATTAAAAGAGGTGTTTAACCAGGAAGGAGAAAAAAAAGATTAATCATCTGCTACCACTGTCCACATTTTAAACTAATGTTTTGTTTTGGAGAAAGAGGAATCACTTCACTTTCTAGAGTCTATCCCATTTATCACTCCTCTTGGAGCTTTTCCCACTTTTTCTGCTTGCAAAATGGAACATATTTGGTCTGAATTGTTTTTCTGTGCTTTTTCTTGGAAAATAAACAAGAATCAACAGGAAACCTTGATAGCAAAGGTCAGAGATCTCTGCACACACAAAGTAGGTAGTCAAAACTGCAATGCAACTGTGACCCTGTGACCAGAGTTCATGTTAATTGAATATTTTCAGTCACTGACTGATCAGAGCATAAGAGGAATCAGCTATGACATTAAGTTATTCCAGACCATCTGGGCTTTTGAAGAATAAATATTACATTATAAAAATCTCGAGCTCTTAGGGAACATCAGAGCTTACTGGAGGTCACATGTTTTGGATGTGGTAACAAGGGTTCATGCTACTAAAATGTTCATGTAATAAAATCTGGTCTTATGATATAAGAAATGTCACTGACGTCATTGCTTCCTTCAATGGTCCACGTTCCACAGAGGAAAATAAAAGTGGCAGGATTATAAACTGTGTTTATCTTGGTACGACTTCCACTAAATTAATGCTTAAAGTTGGGAGGGAGTTGGTGTCACTTTACCAGCAGATTAGCTTTGCTTCAATGCTTTCTCCATCAGGCCCTTCTGGGCTCTAAAGGGATCAACTAGGTCGCGGGATAGAGTTCCCAGGGGACCTGGGAAAATGACTGCAAACTCACTGAATCACTGCTTTGGATTAAGATATCTCTGATTCAAATAATATTTATCAAGCTGCCTAGTATCCTTCTGACTGCGTTGGTAGCGACATACAACATTGACGAATTATAAAATATATGGATCTGTTGTTACAGAAAGTTTTCTCCCAGAACAAAGGGTATTGCAGACGTGCAAATGTGGCTGATTTTGTTGTAGAGCATGTGGAGTAGATTCCAGAAATTATATGTGAATTCATGCAATGCTTAATAACTACAAGTGGGAAATCAGTTTTGAAACTGGCTGTGTGTGTTGACATCTTGTTGGGAGTGGACAGATGGACCATGGCAGTGTTCCCTGACTTTCTCTTTGTTTTCTTCTTCTAGACAAAACTGAAAAAATGAGCAACTTTTCAATCTTATTTTGCCAAATTAACACATTTTAAAAAGCAATTGCTACAGTAACACAGAGGATGTCAAAACAGAGGTGAAAAATATAAAGTGAAATGAACTTGAATTAATATGATTGTTTTCTTGTTTTTTAGGGAAAATATTCAGGCTTTTCTTCTTCTTTTTTTTCAAAAAAAGTATGTCTGTGCAGTTGCACTGATAACATGTACCCACGTTTAGGAGAAATTAACAGTGAATCTTTTGTCATTGTAAATAACCGATGAAAAGTGAGGTGTGCGTTGTGTGTACTTTTTCCTGCTTCTGAAGTGGGGCGTGCCAAAAAAGAGCCACCGCAATAATATATCAAGTTGTCCTCAACTCAAGTAACTTTGTTTTATGGCTTTCTACTCTGCTCGACTATACACTGTGGGGCAAAATGAGGGTCTTTGCACACCGTGTACACTTTACACATGGTGAAATCCAGAGCAGAGGAAGGAAGAGAAACTAGTCGGACTGTAAATGATTCCAAAACGTAGTAGATTAAAAATGTTATATTTTTTAATTGATTTGACGGGCCTGTTGCTCTTCTCACCAGCTGAGGTAGGCTCCAGTTCCCTGTGACCCAGATTTGAATAAGTGGTTAAGAAAATGAACAAATGCATTAATGGATAAATTGATTTCTACTTAATATATTTCTCTATGGTTTCTTGGGGAGGAAAGTGGGTTCAGAGTGTGAGGTTGAGTTCCCATGTCAGGGACAGGCACTGACCCACTCCCTAAGCAATAGTTATGAAACCGCTGTGGACATTAATGTGCTTTGTTCAGTCTTTGCGATGTGACTTGTGAGTAAATGGCTGTTAGTCAGAAGAATTTAACACATGTTCCATTAAGTGAAATAATATTGTGATTTTATTTGTATTAATTAGGATTTAAATCAGCATTGCAGCTCTGCACTCGTTTGTAGCTCATTACTGTGACAAAACGAGTTCACCATTTCATCCAAGTAGTGCTTCTAAAATGAGAAAAAAATT